TTTGGGAGTTCATGAATCTCTTAAAGCTCAGCTGTGTGCTCCAAGTTAAAGACCTCTGATCTAACTACTCCCAGTACCCATCGGCTGACTGACAAAGCTATACTTTCTCTTAGTACAACCCTTGTCTTCTGTATTAGAGCCAATAAAAATACAGATCACTTGCAACTTAAGAGCCCAGGCTCTGCAACCAGCCAGACCTGGAATCAAGTCTTGATCCTGACACTTAGTAGCCACTGAGATCTTGATCAAGTTGCTTGACCTTCCTGAGTCTCAGTTTCCGCATCTGTGAAACAGGGATAATAGCATTGACCTCATAGGGTTGTGATGAAGATTAAATCAAATAATATATCTAAAACATATACATGGCACAATGCCTAGCATGTGTCAGTGCTGGATATATTAAGTAATTTGTTGTAATTAGGAAATGGAATTACTGTTCCTTCCTAGGAATTTTTCTTTCCTAAGATATTTCCATTGGTTGGATAGTTGCAGTTTGTCTTTCCTATTCATCATGCTCTATCTAACTAGCTGGCTGAAAAAAACCCAGTATTTTAGTCTCAGCAACCGTCTTCATTTGTTAGCTCCACACGCAAGAGTTTGATACCCACCCTAAACCTTCAATTTAAAGATTTAGGCCAGTAGCCTCATTTTCACAAGAAATCTATTAAAGTAATCGATTGGCGAGTATTAGGTGGCAAACTGGCACAGTCTGTGTGCAGTCTGAAAAATGATGAAATGTATTTGTAAATATCTACTTAGTCACCATTTCAATCATGGCACTGAGCAAAAGACTTGTCCTACAAAGGACAGTTGGTCATTGTTGACCCAATGGCTGAATTGTTTTTACAGTATTTTAAGATAGTAAAATGTCTTTAGAGAAAGGCTCAATCAATTTTACTAAGTGGTTTAACATTAGATTTTATTTTCAATACTTTCCTCTGTAATTTCTTATTAGAGTTCCTGTTCTAAAACTAGTTGCTAGTATTGGAAATTTGTCCACCTTATTTGCTAGCTATGTAATGTAGGCATATTATCTGATCTCTTGATGCCTCAATTTCCTTGTTTATGAAGTGAGCATCATAATTGGGTGAGAGTAGAGAGGAAGTAATTCATACAAGAGAAATGCTTAGAACAGTGCCTAATAATATGTTAAAAAAAAAAGAAAGAAAGAAAGAAAGAAAGAAAACCTGAGCATGCTCATTAATGCATGGCTATTCCTGCTGTTCATCAAGAGTCCCTCAATATGTTGGATTTTATTATTTTGTTGTGCTTTTCCCTACCCTAAAATTCAGTTAAAACCTCTTTAATTTAGAAACATGCATGGCAAACTTTGTCTTGCATATAATGTAATCCTAAATTTTAAAGATTCTATTCTACAGAGTAGACTAAAATGTTGTGAAATTTTATTTTTCCATTTTCATTTTTGGAGGCACAGGTAAAGATGGATTTATTTTGAGTGAATGTGAATATAATAATCATAAATATGGCTGCAGCCTTTTCTCTGTGCTCATTCTGTGCTCATCATTTTTTTAGTTCCAAATATCATTTGCATGGACCTGATGATGTTGAGTATGGATATTGCAAAGGAGTGATAACTTCCCTTTCCTATTGAAGCTGAAGCTTCAAAGAGAAGATTAAAGAAGTGTTTGTTATCTCTCTGCACAGGCCTGATATGAAATTCTCGGAGGCTTTTTAGGATAAGCGGAACTCTCTGTGCATGTATTTGTATGCTTCTTCTTCCATATATTTCTGTTGTGATCTTTGTATTTTGGTTTAAATATTCTAGTTTCTGACTTGTTGGGGTCTCTGGCTAAAGAATAATTGTCTTCAGGATGAAGGATGAGAATTAGAAGATGCTGGCAATTTTTGACTAAATGTCTCCTAAGGAGTATAGATTTCTCTAGTTTGGAATCACCTTTCTAGAGAGTTGATGAAGGCTATCCATTGGGTATGCTCACAAGACAAGATCAAGTCTTAAAGCGTGTCCAGCAGAGAATAATCCACTGTGCCCCACAGTGAGAGATGAGATTGCTCACCTTTGGGCTTTTCCTTTTGGAAATGTCATATGTGAGTTCGAGAGTAGAGGGTGTGTGTGTGTGAACATCATTAATACTTAGAGTAAAGAAAGAGTGAACAAAGGTAGGTAGCAGGATGGTTTCATGCTGAAAAATAAGGGATGTGACATTTTATTTCATGCCATTCCATGTCAAGTTCTAGATGATTTTTGTTGATAGAACTATTTAATTACAATATTATAAAGACTAAAGCAGATTCTTCTAGTTAGCATCAACTAGATAGACCTGCTGTTCTGTTTGATACTGTTACATTGAGTTATTTTTCTATAATCAATCTTTTTTTTAATATTTATTTATTTTGTTCATACAGAACTGGGGTACAGTCCAGAGGCTCAGGGGGCGGCTAGAGGCTTCACCAGAGACAGAGTGGGGAGCAGAACAGGCAGATTGACGAAGTACAATGCTGAGGGGAGCAGCAGGCAGGTCAGGAGAGGTCTGCCATGTGGTCACCTCTGGGGCAAGCGGGAATCGAACTCATGCGGAAGTGCTTTAGCTTCTCAGTGCTGTGCTTTAACCCAATGCGCCACCAGGGAGGGCCTATAACCAATCTTTTAAAACAGACTACTTTTGGAAGACCAAAATAGTTTATGTGAAGTTATAATATCTTACTAGCTAACAATTCCTAGAAAATCAGGGGCACTTAATGGTAGATAGAGAAGGGAACTAAAAATATGTGAGTGAAGTGGAGAATGTGGGGTAGGAAAGACAAAAGAAGAGACTGAAATCATCAACAATATATTTTACCTACTTAATAATTTGCCTGGAATTAGCCTTTTAACTGCCAATGCATGGCTAAGTTTTTTTTTTTTCTGGGTCAATGAATGAGAACAACATAGGTTAACAAATTTCTGCTCCTGCCATCATCAACATTTTGACAAGAAGAATGTCTGATTATACATACACACATCACATACTTATACACACTCACACACTAATTTCTATTTACATAGAATTGGGAGTTGGAATGATTGGCTCTGGGGGCTAGGGTACTGTCATAGAAGGAGATGGAAAATTGCTCACCCTTTTGATGATTCAGCTCATTAGCTGTATTGCACTGAAAGGAGTTTTACAGAAAACTCTCTTCAGTGACCAGCTACCCAGGAAGCTGGGCTGTCTGCTAGAAGGGTATTGACCAATCATGCCAGCACATGCCACGTACTTAACTTACAACCAGCTCCCATGCCCTGACATTTCCACAGACACTCTATCCCAGCTGTGCAGTTTCATATTTCCCACCCCTTTCTTCACAGATTCCTCCCTTTTTCCTCTGCAGATAGTGAATCTGTCATGGACTTTCTCAGCCCTGAAACCCAAGAGTCTTACATTCCCCTTCTTCAGGTTGCTAGTCCAGAACTATTCTAGAGAAGAACAAGAAAAGTTCATTGTGAGATTTCTTCTCCACCTTCTCTTCCTCATCTCCTATAATTTCCCACATATTCATCTCTGGATTATGGCAACATACTCCCCACTGATCTCCTTCCTCTCCATTTCTGAATTTTTGCCTTGTAAAGAAAGAGCCTAGACAGCTGACATTCCTCTCTGAAGTAGCTGCACCTTATCTCAGCTATGTATGTACTGAAAGGCACATCATAACCCCTCCTGTGTTGCCTTTTTACATTGCTTTTGGGCTGGGGCTCATTCTAAGAACTTCCCAGAAGGAAGTGCTCATCTGCACATGCACACCTCATATGCACATAGGACGTGTTTGACTTCAGCTTGGGAGAGGTCCTGAGAGGTTACCTGGTGATGGCCCAGGACTTGCCACCAGGAGTGCTGTGAGGCTGTGACACACATATGATGTGTATCTGTGCATAGACACATACACACACATGCACATGTACATGTCAAGATGAGGATAGCTACACGTTCACTTTATTTAGTGTCATGACCTCACTGTGTCCATAGCAAGAACTGACATGTGGTGGCTGTAAGCAGGATGGGAGCACATGGAGGAGTGAGAGGAGGGGAAGAAACGAAGAGAGAAGCTATAGATTACACTTCTGAAAATTTCACTATGCTGTGAAGGGAAAGAGGATGGCAGACGGAGGGTATGAAGTGGGGGAAGAAGGATTTATTTATTTTTATATAAGCATAAATGCTGGTAGAAAGGGTCAAGTTGAGAGGAAGAGGTTGAATATATACAAGAGAAAATCAATATAGACTAGTGTAAGGTTCCTGTAAAGGCAGGAAGGAATGAAATCCAAAGTAAAATGGACTTTTGTGGGTAGCCACCATATAGAGCAGTGGTCTGGCTGGGGGTGTAGGGGAGGACGATGCAATTTCAATTCCAAATGAGTGACTTACAAGTGATCCCCTATGTCACTGCCATTTCATTGGTTTTAAGGCTTCAAGTGTTGTCAGTTTTGCCAGTCATTGCCCCAAATAAGAGAGGAGAAGGGGTGATACAGGGTTCTGCAGGAGCCCCAGTCTTGGCTTGGAAATGAAAGTCCCAGGTGGCCTTGAGTTGTTGTTCACGGCCTAGGAGGTGTTTGGGATGCAGGGGTGGGGATGGGGTGGGTGGTCGCCATAACAACTGGAGATGCTGTTGGTATTTGGTGCCCAGGACCAGTGATGCTGATTGTCCTGTAGTACAGGACACATCCTCATGACAAAGAGCAGTCCTGCTCACAGCCTCACACACTCCTGGTGGGAAGCCCTGGGCCGTCACCAGGTAACCTCTCAGGACCTCTCCCAAGCTGAAGTCAAACTTACGTGATGAGTTACAGCTGTGTCACTTTCATGCCTCTGAGAATTTTTCATATCTGAAAGACCAACCCTTTGTTTTTTCCCCAAAATGGGTCATGACTTGGACTAGTTATGGATGATTGTGCAAGCTTTTGGGAACGGGCACTCTAGCCATTGTATGCCAGCCGAGACGAGGGAACCCAAGTTTAACTACTGTCTGTTCTTTTTCTTGTATTTCAGGTACTACTGGGATTTTCAACCCCAAGGTGAGTCCTTTTTGGCCACTTATAGTTTTTTACTAACAATGTGTAGATGGTATTGTTTACTTCTTTTTTTCTAAATAAGCCTCTCCACTGAGTGGCATTAGCTATTTCTGAGAAAAATTAGTGAAGTGTTTCATTAACCTTCACCCTGCTGTGCCCCCCTTCCCTGCTTTAGAGCAAGAGGAGCAAGAGGCGCTGTTGCTTCTGCCCTGAGTGGGTCATTTTATAGAGTGGAAGCTGTAAACCGCCTTTCTGCCATGCGCTTTGTTAGAGGCCAACCAGATCTGCTAACATTCAAATAAAATGGTGGCCGAGTCCATAGTACAAATCTTGGGATGGCTCCAACTCAGCTAATCCTTCATTTGCTCCAGAAATAAATTCCAGTATGTTACCTCCTCGATCACAGTGCTCTTCCATACAGACTGCCTGTCTGGCAGCAGAGAAATGTCAGAAATGGAGCAGCGTTGAAATTCCCACTAGAACAGTGTTATCACGTTTTAATAGGAGCCTCACTGCAGCCTTGGCGCTTCTAATTGCTTTCAAACCATTGTTTTCCTGCTTTTGCTTGATGAACCCAGCATCTGGCATAATTCTAAAAAGTACAACAGACAGCTGTGTGCAAAATTAAAAAAAAAAAAGAACTAACACACATTTTAAAGAGGTTCAAAATTAGAATTTTTTTCCTCTGAGTTCAAAGAGTTTAAGGGGTTATCTTTAAAGTATATGCCTCCTTTATTTTTAATACTCTGGTTGAGAATGTCAGAAACATCTTCCTGAATATTAATTATGATAAGTGGGAGATTTTTATTTTCTCAGAGAATCACCCACCCAGAGTTAAAATGAATTTGCAGATAGCTTTATAAGAGGTTTGTTTCATAATTTTTAAAACAATTATAAACTTTTCCAATATTTTTTCTTTTAATACTCTCAGTGCATTGAAGTTTTAGTGACCAATAATAGCTTAAAGAAATTCCAATTGTGAATGATACTAGCTTTATTACAATTTTAGTATTCTTACTCATACTTCGCATTATTGTATTTCTGTCTATATAAAGATTTCCTTAAAAGCCACTCTAAAAATAAAAATCATTATTTTTAAAGCCTTTTCACTCTTGCAAGTTAAAGACATGGCATTTTTTTTGTTTGTTTTTTGTTTTGTTTTGTTTTGTTTTTATTACAAAGTTTATTTTTACATCATTTTGCACATTTTTTTTTCCATCTTGATTGTAATCCCCGCGGGCTTCCCATCACCAAATCACCCCTGTGCCACCACCATAGTCCTGTGCATTTCCTTCCCTTCCTCCCCCGTTTTTGATCCCATTCCCCACTCCACCCCCACAGAATGTCTCTGGTATATGGTTGTTCATTATTTTTGTTATTTTCTCGCCTGGTCCATTATACTCCTGCTATGAGTGAAACCATCCGGTATTTTTCTTTCTCTTTCTGGCTTATCTCACTAAGCATGATCTTTTCCAGCTCCATCCAAGTTGCTGCAAAAGACATGTGTTTCTCTTTTTTGGTTGCTGAGTAATATTCCATTGTATATATGTACCACATCTTTCTAATCCAGTCATCTACTTTTGGGCATTTGGGCTGCTTCCATGTTTTTCCAATTGTAAATAAAGCAGCAATAAACATGGGGGTACAAGTATCTTTTTCAATCAGTGTTTTTGTGTCTTTTGGGTAGATAACTAGGAGTGGGATTGCTGGGTCGCAGGGAAGCTCCAAATACATGGCATTTTTTTTAAGATTTATTTTTATTTACTTATGCATACAAGAACTGGGGTACAGGCCAGAGGCGTGGGGTGAGAGGATTCACCTGAGACAGTGGGAACCAGAATAGGTGGATCCACTGACATATACTGCTGAGGGTAAAGTCCTGGCATTTGTAACACTTTAATGATATGATGTAACTGTATATCTTGCTGTCTGGAAACATTTGTGACTGCAAACACAGGTTGAAAATAGAGGATTATAGCAGTTTGCTTTGCAAAAGCTGAAGTAATGCTATTCAGGCAATGGCCCTATAGTTCAGGGTTTAACAGATGTAAAGCAAAATCCACAGAGGGTAGAATGTGAATATGAACTGGCAGAAATGAATGGAACTGTGAGGATAGGATTAATTACCTGAAGGAGAAATAAAGAATTAGTGTCAGAGTTGTGATAATGTGTGGAGAAGAGAGATAATTTTGGAGCATAACACAAGAAACGCCATGGGGCTAAAGAGAGGAAGGGCGCATCTCACTGGGTCCTGGGGGTGGTGGCATCAGAGGCCACTCTCGCAGAGGGCAGCCGCTGCCACCTTTCTCTCTTGGAACCAGGACAGAGGGATAGCAGCCAAGGGGGCAATAAAGCAGGGTTTATTTAGATCCTGACAGCGATCGCACACCCATAGCAAGGTCTCTGCCCACTTGGAAGCAAACGTAAGGAAAGACAGCTTTGGGCTTCTTGCTGAGACGTTGGGGCAGGGTGTGGAGTATGGGAGGAGCCAGGGAGGGCATATTTTACCTTGCCCTTAACTGACCATGTACTTCAGAAGCAGGTGAGGTGGACAGGATTAGTAACAGGTCCACACAAACAAACCCCAGCTGCTAGGGGCAGGAAGGGGCTGGGGACACTGGGTCGAGACTAATGGGCTGTGCTGGAGGCCGACAGGCGCTTTGGTTGTGAGTGCGGTGGGCGATTACATCTGAAGAGGTGGGATCCTATTCCCCTAAATTATAAATTATAAGCAGTCTGTTACCTTAAAAAAAGTCACAGAAAAAAAGCAAACAGTGCAAAGTGAATAAATAGAACATTATAAAGTCACATTAACTATAGGTTAAAAGAGATGTAAAAAACATATAAACTAATATGTGCACCTGTTTGCATCCCACCTCGTCACACAATGGAATGCAATTCAGTGACAGGGAAAAATGGAATTTTGCTATTTATAATAAAATGGACGGAACAAGAGGGAATTATGTGAAATGAAGTTAAGCAGAAAGATAAAGACAAATACTGGATGGTTTCGCCTACATGGGTAATATAAGGAAACAGCACATGAACCGACAGGCCAAATATGGATGAACCGGGTACACTGGCAACCACTGAGGCAGCCTGAGGTGAAGATGGAGGCGAGTGAGAGGATGCAGGGTGGTCTAGGGTGCTGGTGGGTGTTTTGGTTTTGCTTGTTCGTTTTGTTTCTTTAAGTCTTTTAAAAAAGATTTATTTATGAATACAAAAACTGGGATGTAGACTTGAGGTGCGGGGGCGAGTGGGGGGGTTTCGTGGGGAGCAGAACAGGCAGATCCACTGAAACACATTGCTGAGGAGAGCAGCCCAAGACAGGGGAGGTCTGCTGCACCAGGTGGGTGAGCTCCTTGGCCCGGGAGGGAATTTGCACCATAGTGGTGATAGCGAAATAGCACTGAGATTTAACTTCTGTGCCACCAGGGAGGCCACCTGTTTTTTATTTCTTTAAAACTATTGTGTGAGATGGAAAAAAATATATAGGAAATGCCCCCTAACTTACTGGTAAAGGCATGCTCAGATATTAAATAATTTTATATTTAGTTTGAACTACATACAAGTAATTCAGCTATTGCTGACATAGCATGCAGTGATAGGAAGAGAGAGTTTAATACCATTCTTTCTAAATAGTGAAGTAAGAAAATGACTAAATATGTCAACCTAAGTGTCAATTTTTTTCTCCAAATAATGTCTTAAGTTTTGTGATTTTTAAAAACTTCTGCCATAGAGATTAAAGAGTTTTTAATATTAAAAAGAATCTTAAACATGACATAGCACAGAGTATGTCACATAAATAAATGAGCAAGTGAAATATTTTGTTATACAAAAAGTAAAATGGGAGGGGAAAATAAATGAGAATGGGGTATCAATGAGACCAGATGGACAGTAAATTGACTTTTGTCAACATGTTTTTATTACCACTCTGCCTACTTTATATCTGATTTAAACTTCTTCTGTTTAACCCATACTGCAGAGGTTAAAAGAAAGTAAACCTAGATTGAGATTAATAATAAAAAAAATTACTTTATTTCTATTGTGAGGCCTATTGCATTAATGCATAAAATAGTTTATGTATCTGGGTCGCAAAATACATGGAAAAGTGAGCTTTTAACCTTTTTCATTTGTTTTGAACTTTTGTGTTTGCTTTGTGACGGAATGAGCATGAGCTTTGAAATCAAGGTATCTTCAAACCCCATCTCTTCTACGTATAAGCTTTGTGAGCCATAGCAGACACATCACTTCCTCATCTACAGTATCTCCCTAATGATAGCTACTTCACAGTGGCGATTTTGTAATGAGTTATAATGAGATGATGAACTCAGGGAGGAGTGCTTGCTATTTTAAGAACTTAGAAGAAGTAACAAGTAGCATTTCTGTTTCAGCAGAGGGCTGTGCAAGTCAGTTCAAGACGGGAACTCAGACAGGTTGCATTTCATATCTTTCCATAAAAGCCATCCATCCCAGGCTGCAAGGGCCATGTAACTCACTATGTTATATAGGTGAGGTTTGCAGTTAAAGGGTGCACATGCAGATTTTATTGGTAACACTTCAGAAGTCAGATTTATGGGCTTGCTGCTCTGTGATGTCTGAGACACATTGGATTGAAGCATGGATGTCACTTAACTTCTCGTCTCCTACTATCACATACTTGGAGCATGTAGTTATGACAAATACAAGAAGCAAGCCATTAAAGGAGCCAAGAAACACCATCATTGCACTAAAGAAAAGAGAGAAGGGCTCCCCTTTGAAGTTGAAGAGAAGTGTTTTTGAATTAATGGAGTGTACAGTGATTTTACTAGGTTTTATTTATGAAAATACCCTTTGCATTCATGCCAAAAGGTTTTAGCATGGTTGTAAGTAGGATTTATACAAAGAAACACAACCCAAATTTATGACGTGTTTGTAAATGTAAGAAAAGGTCTGAATTTACAATATTTGTAATTTATAGTTAAGTATCTTTGTATCACTATTCCTGGAATGCTAATATTTTA